CGCTGGGGGGAGGGCGGCGAGCCCGGCCGGGGCCCCGCTCACCCCGACCGGCCGGAGCGCCTTGGGGAGGGCGGCAAGCCCAGTCACGGCCCTGCTCTTGGGCCTGAGCGCCCCGCCGCACCGCCCCCCTCCAGGCGCCGCCCCAAGCACATGCTTGGTGGGCTGGTGCCTGGAGCCAGCCCTGCCCCAACTTCCTCACCATCCCTACCGTGGTACCCCCATAGTGGGCAGGCCCATGGCAGAATCCCTGTGGCACTCCATCACTCACACACTCACCCCCTGCTCGTCCAGCTTGAGCAGCGTCTCAGGCACCTTGGGTGAGTTGGATGCCAGGCGCAGCCCCTGCAGGTTCAGGTCGGGCAGCACATGCTCCAGCAGCTTCTTGGGGGACAGCCCACGGGCAGCGGGGGGACGGGCAGTGGGGGGCAGCGCCTCCTCCAGCACTGAGCCTCGCAGGGTCCGCAGCTGTGGGGAGGAGAAGCCATGGGGGGTGGGGAGAAGGTCAGGGAATTTTTGTACCCATGCATAGCCCCCTGACTGGGACTCCTCCCACAGCACCACCTCTCCAGGGCAGTGCCCTACCCACAGTGTCCTGCTCCCCCAGTAGTGCCCCTGTGCTACAAGCTCCCCCCAGGCTGTGAGCTCCCTCTGGTGGTGCCCACCTCGCTGGTGCGCAGGATGAAGCGGTAGTTGTACTGCAGGCTGGCACCCTCCTTCTCCTTCTCTTCACGCCGCAGCGACACGGCCACCGCTCCCAGGCGCTCATCCACCCCGAAGAAGTTCTGATGCTCTGTGCCAGGGGATGGGTGTTTGTTAGAGATGGGCATTGCGAGGACTGCCCCCAACCTTCCCCACACATTCTCTGACCCCCCCGAATGCCAGCCCCATGAACCCCCACTTTCACTCCTCCCCCTCTGAGTGCCAGCCTCCTGCCTCCCCAGCCTTTGCCCCCCCCAGGATAATTTTTCTGCCAGCTCACCCTTGTGTAGCAGCACTCAGAGTAGCTGGCCCCTGCCCCCAGCTCCATGCTCCTTATGTCCTGTGTCCCTTGTTCCTTCCTCCCCACACCCTGTACCCCGCATACATTCTGCCCCCTCTGTCCTACTCCCCTGCCCCGGCTCACCCTTGCCATAGAAGTATTTGCGGTAGTAGCTGGCGCCCAGGTCGGCATACTCAATGTAGTGGGTGGCCCGGCTGCCCCTGGTGGGGTAACTCTCTCGTGGCTCCTCCAGCACCGACACGGCCGCATTGGGCAGCTGCCCGGCGCCCCCTCCTGCTTCCTGGCGCCGGCCCAGCCCTCCCTCCTCCTCACCCCCAATCTCATTGCGGAAGTGGGGGCAACTGAGCACCAGAGGCCCATCCTTGCCATCACCTGGATCAGGCTCCTCAGGGACAGGGGTGGGGGCTGGCCCTGCGGAGGCGGCTGAGGCCCCTGTGGTGATGTTACGCACCCGGCGCCCGGCACTGCCCTGGCACCAGGCCGCCTCACCTGGATCAAAGAGGATGCTTTGCACATCATAGTGGGCCAGCTGGCGCACCCAGATCTGTGGGGGGAACTTGGGGGGCTCTTCTCCCCTGTCCTGCTCTGGCACGGCGGCCCCAGCCCCCTGGCCGTCCCCTTCCCACACCTCGCCTCCTGTGAGCCCCAGAAGCACCAGGGGGTCCCAGAAGCGCCGGGCAGCTGGGCTGCTGGCCCGTGGCTCCTCGTGGCTGTGGGCGCGGGTGCGGGGGGCCCCGGGCCTTTCTCGATGGAGCTCAGGCTGCCATAGTCCCGGTGCAGCCCGCAATCCCCACCCCCCACCAGTGACGAGGAGGGGGGTGTTCCGTCCCCAGGCACCCCCTCCCCAAGGGTCACGTCACTGTTGCTGCGGTGCATGATGTGGCTGGCAGGCCTTAGGCCCAGGCCAGGGGGGGTGCCATGCCCCCTGGGGAGCCCCTGGGTCACCTCACTCCGGGGGGGCCGCAGGAGGGGGGCCGGGATCCCTTTGGCGTCGAAGGAGATGGAGGCCAGAGGGGGCCGGGCAGAGTGGCGCCGGATTTTGCGGACGAAGAGGTCATCTGACTGCATGGCCCTCCCGCCCACCAGCACGCCCCCCCGGAAAACGGGAATGAGACGGCCTGGCGGACGGAGAGGTGCGGCCACCGATCACATGCACGCAGGCTTCGGGGAGCGAGAGTCAAGGAAACAATCCAATTGGCTGGGAAGGACAACTATGTGCTCTACCCCTTGCCACTCAGCTTTCTCCTTTATGGCCACTGGCCGTCAGTGGGTGTGGCCCGTCGTCTCATTGGATGAGAGCATCATGGGGAGCCACTGGGGAGGCGCTGCTGTGCTGGAAGCCGTCAAATCCAGACATGGGGTGTGGCCGGCCGGCGTGCCATGCTGGGGGGTTAAGGGTGGGCCTTGGTGCAGCCTGGGTTCTGGGCAGGGCACTCTGCTCTCAGCTCCTGGTGAAGCAGCCTGCTCAATCACAGATCCTGGTATGGGGTGGGGAGCCGCCTTCCTGCGAAAGGAGTTGAGGGGAGATCTGAGATGGGGGAGATGGGGAGAGGCCCAGGCTGCAATGCTGGACCCTGTCCCCCCAGTACTGAGGCAGCTTGTGCTGGGTCCCATCTTCCCAGCTGCCCCAAAACACCAGGAGCATTTCTGGCGACTGGTTGGACACCTTTCCCTGGTGCGATGGGGACAGCCCTGAAACACACCAGGTGCCAACCTGGGTTGCTCGCCAGGGAGATGACCAGGGCAGGGGCTTGAGGAGAAGGTATTTCTCCAGCAATTTTATCTGTCAAACACTGAGCCATTCCCTCTCTGATACCTGGGTACTTTCCTTCTAATACTGGGGTACTTTTCTGGGCTGTTTATTTATCTAATACCCAGAGTACATTTCCTCTCTGAAACCCCTGTGCTTCCCTCTCTGACACCTAGGCACTTTCTTGGGCAGGTTCAATAATGTCTGGGTCACGTTTTCTCTCTACTTCCTGGGTTCTGTTCTGGGACACTGATCTGTCATCCTCGCTCAGTGGGAATCCCTTCTGTGCCCTCTCCCCTCTGACTCCTGGGGATGCCCCCGATTGCAGACTGGGCCCGATGGAGCCCTGATGTCAGGCAGCTTTGCCCCATCACAGGGAGTGTGTGTGTGGGTGGGTGGGGGGGGACGGGACAGGGCTATTGCTGCATACCCAGGGCAGTCTGGGGAGGAGAGGGCAGGTGCATTCTGGGAAGTTGATGTGACCGTTGTGTGGGGCAGGTGCATTGTGGGAGGTTGATGTGAATGATGGGGAGGCAGGTGCATTCTGGGATGCTGATGTGACTGGTGGGTGGGGGCATACTGCATTAGCAGCAGCTGCAGACAGGACAGGGCTCCGTGGTCAGGGCTGCAGGAAATCTCCCCATACGCTCCCCTCTAGCCGCAGCTTCCTGCCCTCGCTCGGATGGGGCAGCTGTGTGTGTGGAGGGAACGTCTCGGCGCTGAATGGGAGGGGGGGGGTCAGGGACAAACAGCTGCCTGACACAGGTACACTCTGTGACATATGATAGCTGAGGCAAAACCACCCAGATACTGGCCTGATAGCAAGGGGCACTGACTCCAATTTGGGCCCAGAACTGGGGCTTGGCTGGCTCAGTTTGGGAGAGAGACAGGGCCAACAGGGCCCTCACATGCGGGGTGGGATACGGGGCTCTGCCCAGCTACCAACAGAAAGAGCCAAAAAACAGGAACTTGCACAAGTACCTGTTTCTGTAGCAGCTTCCTCCTGCAAGGCTGGGGGGACGCTGGGGACAAAGGGCTGAGGCTCCCAGTCTGGAGGCAATGGCTCCCAGAGACAGAAACAGAGTTGCTGCCCTGACCCCTGAAGTGACACCCCTCTACACACACACCCTGCACCATACCCTGACTCCTTGCACCCACCCAGTGCCCCCCATTCACATTTCTGCTTTCTCTGCAGTTGCTGAGCCAAGCAGAGTGGAATCTGTGCCGGAGAGGTCAGACCCCACAGAGATAGTGGCGGGGGAGGGGGAAGGAGAGCAGCTGGCAGACAAATAATCACCCTGCACCCCGGAACTGGACTTGCCCCCCAGCTAATTGTGACCCCGCCAACCTGGAACTGACTCCCCCAAACCTGTCCCTCCCACACTGACTCCCCCCATCTACTGGGGTCCCAAACATCTGCAGAACAGCCCCTGTCCTGGCTCCCCCAGTCCCAGCCCCTCCTTGGTCCCTGGTTCCCCAGGACTCTGGGGGTGGGGAGCTGACTGCTTCGCCAGTGACATACCAGGCTGGGGAGGGGTTCAGGGAGCGGCAAGAACAGAAGAGAGAGACAGAGAAGGGGGCCAGCAGATCAGCTTCTGCCACAGCTCTGGTGGTGTCTCTCATTCGCGACCCGCAGACCTCTGCTATCTCCCCTCCCAAGCTCTGTTGGTGCCCCTCACTCCCAATCTACAGCCCAGACAATGCCAAGGCTAAGACCCGTCAAGCTCATTTTGCTGGTCTATATTGGAACTGAAGCATCCAGACGTTCTTGGGGGGGGGGGTGCGTGGGTGGCCTCTACTTCCCCATTTGTGGTTGGCTCTGTAAGCGTCAGATGAGCGACTGAGCTCCCCCTCCCCCTCTCAATACGCTAGAGCCACGTCTGTGAGGTGAGGACACATGGGGGAAGTGGGTGTCTGCAGTGATGCTCATGGTTGGGGGAGGTGCTGGCTCAGAGGCCCCAGCTCCCAGCTCCCATCCCCCCCTTGTGCTGTCCCCAGATTAGGGGAGACAGCAGAGAGAGGCCCCCTCCCCCTCCCCCCCACATCCTTCTCCCCTTCCCCCAGTCCCCTATACCCTCTTCCTCTTCACGCTCCCACCCTCAGACTCCCTTCCAAACACACAGCCCCCCACCATGTACGCTCCCCGTGTCATGGGGGTGGAGAGGAAAGCATGGTCCCCAGAGCCTGTTCAGCCCCACCTCCCAGGCCTTTCTGCTAGCCAGGGGCTGGGGCCCAGTGTGGGAGGTGCCCTAGTCTACTAGGGATGACTTGCCTGAGACCCAGCAAACTCATCTCACAGACAGGAATGACATTCACTATGAACCTGGGGCCAGATCAGAGCTGGCGCCCCCTAGAGGAGAAAGGCCTCATGTCCCCATTCCCTGCCCCCTGAGCTAGCCCATCCCCTGCCCTGGGTCTGGATCAGAGCCAGCGCCCCCTAGAGGGAAAGGTCCCTCTCCTTGTCTCTGGTGCAGACGAGTTTTTTAACCTACAAAACAACGAGGAGTCCGGTGGCACCTTAAAGATTAACAGGTTTATTTGGGCATAAGCTTTCATGGGGGAAAACCCACTTTTTCAGATGCATGGAGTATTTTCACGAAAGCTTATGCCCAAATAAATCTGTTAGTCTTTAAGGTGCCACCGGACTCCTCGTGTTTTTGTGGATACAGACTAACATGGCTACCCCTCTGATACTTGTTAACCTAGTTGCTTGCTGGAACATTAACAAAGGACCCGCCTGGCACAGCCCCTCCTCCCCCGACCCAGCAGCTCCATCGTGCCCCATCACTGTGCTGGGGCGACCACCAAGCCCCACCCCACCCTGGACACACACACCCCATTTACTGTCCCCGCCAGCTTGGAGGTCGGACTTAGGACAAACCTATGTTTTTTTTCCAGAGAGTGGGGTGGAATTCCTGGGTCTCTATTGGGAGGGCTTGGCAGGGAAAGGGTTAATGGCGGCTGAATGCCTGGGGGAGGGGGAGGTGGGGTTGCTTGGTGTCTATTGGGGACCAAATGTGGGGCTGGTGACAGCAATGTCTGGTGGCTGAACCAGCCCCCTTTGAGCTCCCATATTACCCCCATGGAACAGTGCCCTCCCCCCCACACACACACGGGAAAGAGCAACTCACCCAGCTCCCTGGGCAGGGGGGACGGATATCTGAGCCCGGGTGTGTCACAGGGACCTGGAGAAACAGAGAGCAAGAATTCAGTATTTCCTTGGGGGGAAGGGGGATCCCTCGACCGTTGCTGAGATGCAGCCACCTCTGGGATGGGGCGCAGGGGCTCTTTGTACAGAGCTCCCTTGCCTGGTGCTGAGAGTCATCTGTATCTGGAGCCTTGTTTAACAGCTGCACATTGACAGTTCCCAAGGATTTAGGACAGGAAGTGAAAGAGAATCCTGCATCCTATTGTATCAGCAGAGGGGGAATCAGGAAGGTTTGGAGCTTCAGCTCGCTGAGACTCTTTCCTGGACACCGGGGTTCACTCTCTGTCTGGGGGGAGGGGGAGGCTCGGGGACAGTGGTGGGCCTGGGTCTGGGGTGTCTGTGCAGGTGGGAGATGCTCCCATCTCCTCCCCTCTGTTTTGGATGTGGGGAGAAGGGGACCGGGGGGGGGGGAGGGGACCCCGATGCTCAGGCAGGGGGCTGAGGGTGCTCAGTTTCGGGGTGTGATTTCAGGTCTCAGGAAGCTACAATGGCAGGAAGTACAAAAATTCATCTGGTTAAACTGAGGAGATGGGGCGGGAGGGGGGAGACAGACACATGGCTGCAGCCGCATGGCCACGGACACAGAGATCTGCTGGGACCTGTTGCCTGAGCTGCCCGTTGCACTTATTTTGCCCTGGGAAAACACCCCCTCCCTGGGGGAGCCCCCGCGCCCAGGAAAGATGGTTGGATACGCCGCCCCACCGCCATGCTGCCCTTGACTGTTTCCTCCCACCGGCTGGGCCCCAGCCCACCCCAAGATCCCCGGTCAGTCTAAGCTGGCCCCCATCGCCTGCCCCACAGACCTGTTTCATTGCTCCAGGGACTCCCCGACAACCTGCACCCCTGAACCCCCATCGGCCTGGGAACCACCCGCATCAGCCCCCTGGCACTCCCATCGCCCCCATGACTCTCCAGCCCCCTCCAAGCCAGGCGAAAGGCTCGGTACCTGGGGGTCGGTACCTCGGGGTCCAGACGGGCTGGGTGGCGCGGACGCTCTGACTCGCTTCCTGCTGTGCGGGAAGTGATGGCGCAATCAGGAGCCTGAGCCACGTCCCCCCGCACACACCCCCCAACATCCTCAGGAAAGAGCCAGGTCCCGAGTGTGACCTGCCGACTCCCCACCCCCAAACCGGTGAGCAGCTTCCTGGCCACGCAGCTAGGCCTAATAACACACACCCCCCTCTCACTCTGCCAGTGCCCCGCAATCCTGACCCACAGCCCCCTGCTATCCCAGCCCTGAGCTCCCCCACAGCCCTGCCAGTGCCCCTCACTCCCAGCCCACACACCCCTGCTAGCCCAGCCCGGGGCCCCTCACCTCTGCCAGGGGCCCACACTCCTAGCCCTGGGCTTCCTGCTTCACACAGCCCGGCCCAGAACCCAACCAACTGGTCTTTTGCTCTTTCCCCTGCCGGTTCAGAGTGGAAACCACAAATCGGTGCCTCATGCCCACAGGGAGATAAGGGGGGCCTGTGGATCAGGAGTACCGGCACTGCGGGGGAGGGGCAAGGGAACCCAGTGCTGGGATAGCAGGGGTTGTGGGTCAGGATTGAGGGGCAACAGCAGAGCTCTATGTATATTGGGGGGATCCCTCTTACTGGTACCAGGACGTGCTGAGCCAGCCCCCAATGCTGCCCTGGTTACTCTGTAGCTGGTGCCCTCCCCTGGTCCCAAGTGAGCTTACGCAAGCAGACATCCTCGCCTGGCCATGAATGGGTTCCCCACCCCCACAGGGTGGTGGGGGCGGATGCTATTTGGGCTGCGTCACCCCGAGGCTGCTGCCCTCAAAGGGGCCTTTCAGGGACATGCGGGGCGGGGGGGGGGGGAACAGGGACAAGGGGACATTGGCAGCCATTGAACAGAATGGTAACCCGTGTGTGAAGGATGCTGGGCATTCAGCAGGGTGCTCCCCTGCCCCTGTACCCCGAGCTCCAGGGCCTGGTATTGCGGAGAGCCTGGGGGGCTCCAGCATGGCTGCAATGTCAGGGGAACCTTGCCTACCCCAACCATCCCCCCTCCTAGGCCTTCACTCCTCCCTGAAGCCGGCATCTGGCCCATCTTCCAGCTAGAGGGGGTGGAATTCGACCGGCTTTGGAGCCCCAGGACAATGAAGCCTCTTTAGATATGCCCCCCCACTCTTCCCCTCCTCCCTTCACTGCCGAGTTCATCAGTGCCTAGGCCCCACGTCTCCCTTCTTCCCCTCAGGCTTCCCCTCACCCACCCCTGCACTCCAGGCCCAACCCAGAGCTGGGATAGAACCCAGGAGTCCTGGCTCCCAGCCTCCACTAGACCCAACTCCCCTCCCCTCCCCTCTCAGAGCTGGTATTGAACCCATGAGCTGGCAGTGGAGTGGGGAAGGCTGGAATGGCAGGGGCCTGTGGGTCAGGACTGAGGGGCACTGGCAGAGCTGGCAGTGGAGGGAGGCAGGGCTGACATGGCAGGGAGCTCTGGGTCAGAAGACTGAGGGACACTGGCAGAGCTGGGGATGGAGGTGGCCAAGGCTGGGGTGGCGGGGGGCTGTGAGTCAGGACTGAGGGGTACTGGCAGAACTAGGGGGCTGTGTATGTTTCTATTCAGATTTGCCCAATGGCAGGATATTGAGTGTCCAACTGCATCTAAAATCCCCACTACTGTCCTGCCCCTATCTCTCCGCTGGCCCCCACAAGCTCTTCCCTGCTCAGGGCTCCAGCATCCCTGAGGGATTTCCCAGTCACTCAGAACAAAGGGGGAAGGGTGTTGGTAGGTGGATCAGAGCTGGACAGGTGTCCCAGGGCCTGGATCCCTGGAGGGTGAGGGAGTGTGAATCCCAGCGATAGTGCCCCCCCCCCCCCATGCACACACCCCCCCCTTCAGCTTCTTCCCTTCCCCTCAACCTCCTCTGGTTCTACAAAGCTGGCCTGGTGTTACTCAGAACAATCCACCCCCCTCCGCCCCCGCCTGCACCAAGCCCTGCCACCACCACCCCCATTAATACTCCCTCATCAGTTCCCATTTTGCTTACAAGTTTATTTCCTTCATCCTTTTATAAGCTCCCTTGTGCCCCACCCCTCCCCACTGACCCAGCTCCCTACTCCACCCTATAGTTATCCCATCAGCTCCCTCCCATCTCCTGATCTGGGCAATTCAGATTGGCAGGGGGAAGACACTGGGGCCCCCTGTTTAAAAGCCCATCCCCCAGGGATTCCACCCCCAGCTCTGCCCTGCCCTGCCAGTACCCATCTAGCCTGCCTTCTGCCCGACAGGGAGTAGGCTGGAGGGGGCTATGTGAGTGTGGGCCATACAGGAGTGGTGGAGGATGGGGGCCTGAGGCGGTAGGGGTGTTGGGTTATGGTGCTGTGCCGTGGGCCAAGGGTGTTGTGTTGAGATAGTGGGGTGCATGGGGAGTGTGCTGGGAGGGGGTGGCACTGGGCCGGGTCTGAGCTACGCTGCATTTTGTGGGTGTGCTATGGTGGGAGGAGGTGTCCACTGTGTGGTGCGCAAATGGGGCTGTGGTGTGTATATCAGGCCATAGGAGGCACTGGGTGAGGGGGTTGTGTTGTGCTGTGTTATGGATATCAGGTTGTGCCAGGCACTGAGTAAGGGGGTTATGTTGTGCTGTGTTGTGTGTGTATTGGGTCGCAACAGGCACTGAGCGAAGGGGTTTGTTGCATTATGTATATTGGGTTTCACTGAGCATCAAGTGAGGGAGTTGTGTTGTGCATATGGGGTCACGCTGGGCCCGGAGTGAGGGGGTTGTGTTGTGTTGTGTTGTGTGTATTGCGTTATGTGTTGTGCTTGGAATTTTTGGCTGGAGTTCTCCGCTAACAGCCGTTCTTTGAATGTGAAATGTTTTGTGTGAACTTGCCAATTCCGACAAAATTTTACATGGGGAAAAAAACGAATTGTTTTGACATCCCCAGTTTAATGAAGGAAAAATGGTCAGTTTTGACTTTTATTGTTTTGGTTAGTTTCCTTTGGACTTTTATGTTTTATGAAAATACTAAATCTACTAGCTATAAATATCAAGATATTAGCACTGCTGGGACATTTGTCATATTAAAATAGCTGTAGATATTTAATATTGTAATATATGCATGGTGATATACAATATTGGAGACATACTAGCTTACAATCTTAATTCCAATATTATTATTATATATATAAATAGCTCATCCCCTGTAGAACGTATTGGATTTACTATTTCAATACGCTGGACAAATCAAAATGAGAAAATCAAAATGGTGTAACTTTTTAATCAAACCCAAGCAGGGACGAGCCCCTAAATCACCGTTTTGGGACATTTGTTTTGCCCAAGATTCTGGCTTTTTGATTCCGATTTGGAAAGAAAAACAAAATCCAAAATGTCAGAATTGCCCATTGCTTGTGGTTCCCAACCGGCTGTGCCTGGGTGGTGGGCAAAGGGGTTGTATTGTGGATTGTGCACAGGGTGCTGTGTGTGCTGAGCATGGTGCCAGACGGGTATTATTGTTTGGGTGCTGTGTGGAGAGAGGGGGGCTGCATTGCATTGGGGCAGAGGGGTTATTGTTTTGGGGGGTGGAGTTGTGTGGGCATTTGGTGAAGGGGGGCTGCGTTGTGATGGGGGTTGTGTTGTGTGGGCATAGGCGGAGAGGATCTATGTTGTGTTGGGGCAGGGGGCTGTGTTGTGTGGGCATTGGGGCATGGGCAGCGTTGGATCAGGGGCTGTGTTGTGTGGACACTGGGGGAGGGGATGGTGTTGAGTGGGGGGAGGGGCGGTGTTGTGTGGGTGCTAGGGGAGGGGGTGGTGTTGTGTTGGGGGGGTGTTGTGTGGGCATTGTGGGATGGGGTGGCATTGTGGTGGGGGGTTGTGTTATATGGATGTTGGGGGAGGGGTGGCATTGTGGTGGGGGCTGTGTTGTGTGGGTGTCGGGGACGTTTTAAAATATTAATAAAAGAATTTTTAAAAGATGAGAAATGAGCCCCACTGCCCCCTTCCAGCCATCCAAGCTCCAGCCCCCCCCAACCCTCAGCCCCTTCTGCCCCATGGCTCTCCCCAACTCCCGCCCTCTAGTTATCCCATTCTTTTATAGAAGGCCCCAGATGATGCCCGGCCGGGTACTCCCTCCCCTCAGTGGAAGCAAACCCCATCCCCCCCATAAATGGGGGGCAGCCCCCCGTAAATCCTTCCATTACCCCTGTGGGAGCAAATCTCCCCAGCCCAGAGGCACCAATATCCCCCCACACACACTGGGGGTCTGCCCTTCACCTGCAAAGTGGAAACCTAGTGCCTTTTGAGGGGTGTGTGTGCATTGGGGGGCGCTAGGAAGGACAGCTGTGGAGGGGGCACTGCGTTGGTTAGGACTACTGGATAGATAGATGGGTGGGGGAGCAGGGGGTGCAGGGTGCTGGGAAGGGGATGGGTGGGGGAGCAGAGGGAAGAATGGGATAGGTGAGGATGCTATATGGGGTGAGGGGAATGGATGGGATGGGCAGGGGGTGCTGTGTAGAGTGAGGGGGATGGGGAATGGTGGGCACTGGGTGCAAGGGGATGGCTGGGATGGATAGAGGTGCTGTATGAAGTGAGGGGGATGGTGGTGAGGAATGGGGGTGCTGTGTGGGATTAGGGGGATGGATAGATGGAGGATACTGTGTGGGGTGAGGGGGATGGGGTGGGGTTCAGGGGGATGGGCGGGATGTGCTGTGTGGGTTGAGGGGAGTGTGGGGGCACTGGCTGGGATGAGATGGGGTATTGTGTGGGGGTGGGGCTGGGGAGTGGGGACACTGGCTGGGATGGTTGGGGGCGGTGTGTGGAGGGTGGGGCTGGGGAGCAGGGACGTTGGGTGGGGTGAGGAGGATGGGGAAGCTGGGATGGGCTGGGGTGCTGTGGGGGGATAGTGAGCAGGGGTGCTGGGTGGGGTGAGAAGGATGGAGGAGTTGGGATAGGTGGGGGCACAGTGTGGGAGTTAGGGGGGTGGGGAGCACTGGCTGGGATGAGCAGTGGGCGCTGTGTAGAGTGATGGGCTGGGGAATGGGGGGGTTCTGGGTGGGGTGAGGATGGGTGGTGGCACTATATGGGGTGAGGAGAATGGGGGAGCTGGGATGGGTGGGGGCACTGTGTGAGGTGAGGGGGATGGGGAGCAGGGGGCACTG